CCCCAACTCCCCTATCGGCCCTACTCTGTGCGTGACAGGGGGGAGCTCCCCAACCCCCTGATGGGCCCTGCTCTGTGAGTGACAGGGGGCAGCGCCCCAACCCCCTGATGGGCCCTGCTCTGTGAGTGACAGGGGGCAGCGCCCCAACCCCCTGATGGGCCCTGCTCTGTGAGTGACAGGGGGCAGCGCCCCAACCCCCTGATGGGCCCTGCTCTGTGAGTGACAGGGGGCAGCGCCCCAACCCCCTGATGGGCCCTGCTCTGTGAGTGACAGGGGGCAGCGCCCCAACCCCCTGATGGGCCCTGCTCTGTGAGTGACAGGGGGTGCCGCGCAACCTCCCCATCGACCCTGCCTTGAGTGTGACAGAGGGCAGTGCCCCAACCCTCCAATCGGCTCTACCCTGAGTGTGACTAGGGGTGGCATCGCAACCTCCCGATCCGCCCTGCTCTGTGCATAAAAGGGGCAGTGCCCCAACTCCCCAATCGGCCCTGCTCTGAGCCCGACCAGGGGCTGCACCTAGGGATAGGGCGTGCCCTCTGCCACCCGGGAGCAGGCCTAAGCCAGCAGGTCGTTATCTCCTGAGGGGTCCCAGACTGCGAGAGGGCACAGGCCAGGCTGAGGGGCCCCCCTCCCCCCCGAGTGCACAAATTTTTGTGCACCGGGCCTCTAGTAGTAACTATATAGTATAATAATAACCGGCTGCAGGCTCAGGATATGCCAGGCCGTTTGCCATGTAGTGTCTGCATGTGACCCGTTTCAGTGCTCATAGCCGCATGTGGCACACACTGTGCTCTGCATTTTCTAGATTGTTGGGTATCTTTCCCAAGGCCACCCAGAGGGGAGGGGGCAGAGATAGGGGGAGTCTGGTCCCCAAGACCTTGAATGGTCTGAGACCACAAATGCAGCCTGAAGCCCCGCTCTGCTCCCCTCGCGGTGGCTGGCTCCGCCTGGGAGGAGCGAGTAGTCCTGGCAACCCAGCTGCCGCCGCTCTCCCGGCTGCAGAGGCGCGCGCGAGCCCACCTTCGACGCCGAGACTTCCGGGTTCCTGGAGCGACCGGAAGTGGGTCCTCTCTTACTTCCGGTTCGGCCATTGTTTTTTGCTTCTACCACCGAGCAAGGTGTTGTGCGCCGAGGCGGCGTCGCAGCGGTACTCCCAGTGAGTGGACCGGAGGCGGGGAACGAGGGGCTGCCGGGGCGGGGGACGAGGGGCTTC